AGACACAGACAGAGAGAGCTAGAGAGACACAGACACAGACACAGACACAGCTAGAGAGACACAGACACAGACACAGACACAGACAGAGAGAGACACAGAGCACGAGAGCTAGCGAGCGAACACAGGAAGGAGGGCGGTATGGTGGCTCAGTGGTTAGCACTGCTGTCTCACAGCTCCAGGGACCTGGGTTCGATTCCACCCGCGGGTGACTGTCTGTGTGGAGTTTACACGTTCGCCCCGTGTCTGTGTGGGTTTCCTCCAGGTTCTCCGGTTTCCTCCCACAGTCCAAGAGATGTGCAGGCTAGGGTGGACTGGCCTTGCTAAATTAGTTCACATGAATGCACGGGTGGAATTCAAAGGTTTGAGAGAGCCAGTCTCAGTAACAGTGCCAGAAAACTACCATCAGCAATCATTATGTCTTGCACAGGATAACCATTTGTGGCATGATGGCCCTCATATTCTCAGCAGCCATCCAGCATTCCTGCACTAGCCTTGGTTAATAGATCTCACAGCAATCTGCATTCTTACCACACACATTTCACAGCCCGCATACTTACTCATGTTCCTGTTGCAGAGACTGCAGAACCACCGGCTTCAAACTGAACGTACAAAGGGGAGAGGGAGAGAGAGAGAGAGAGAGAGAGAGAGAGAGAGAATCCGTTAGTACATCATAAAGATCTCTTAAACACATGCACAGCATGCACTAACAGAACACAGATAAATGCTGTCTCAAACACTCCCAAAACAGGGAGAGCATGGGGTTAGATACAGAGTAAAACTCCCTCTACACTGTCCCCCCTCCCAACAAACACTCCCAGGACAGGGACGGCATGGGATTAGAAACAGAGTAAAAGCTCCCTCAACATTGTTCCCATCAACACTCTCAGGATATAGATAGCACAAGGTTAGTTCATTCCACAGTTGAACCACTTTAAAGCTGCCTATACAATGTCCCCACCACACAAGCTCACTCTGCACTGATCTTTCGAACATTCACTGTCAAATCCCAGGTTGCAGACAGAAAGAAAGCACTACACAAAAGCTTAAAGCTAATCTCACGCCAGGTCTCTATTCTGCGGATACATTTAAAAAGTTCATCACGTACTTCTCTTTAAGATCCACCGACAGTTTCTTCCAGTGCTTGGCCACTCTTCTCCTCACGAGCACTGCTGCAAACTGTCGGATCTAAAGGGGACAGTGGAAAAAAAAAAAAGAAGAATAGGATTTTGTTAACACACAGAGAGACAACATGGAATGAAGTGTACCTAGAAACAAAAAGGGCTGAAAGGAACTGAAGGAATTTCGACGAGATAGCCAATAGCTGTTGATTGTGGACTACAGCCACTTTTTATGCATTTGGGGAACCCGTTTCAAGCCATTAAATGCCAACATGGAAAAGGAAAGAAATCAGGATGGGAAAGGAATGAGAGAAGTTAAATGTTCTAGTGCTCTCAGCAAATTCAGAAGCACTTTTACAGTGTAAGAAACACAGCAGCCAATTCACACACAGCAAGCTGAGCAGTTTTAATGCTGGAGCTCAAACCATCAGGGTAATTTAGTAAAACACAGAACCGAAGACACCAGAAACTGGAAACAAAAACAGAAATTGCTGGAGGACCTCAGGAGATCTGGCAGCACCTGCAGCAAGAAAGCAGAGTTAATGCCTCTAGTCAAGGGGCCCTTTTACAGCTCTGTAGAAGGGTCAATAGATTTGAAATGTTAACTCCGATTTGAATCCCACTCCAGCAGAGGGTGGGGGGGGGGAATGTGAACAGAAATTGAATGTTTTAACATCTAACAATGCCCACAAAACCATTGTTGACTGTTGCTAAAATTTCTCCACAGGTCACAGCCATACTGGGCACAGATGGCCATGTTTGTGGCTGTTGGAGGTAGACATCTCAACTTCAACAAATTGTGCCTTTTTTCCAGCAATATTCAAATTCAGTGTTACCAAACAACTTCCACAGGAGTATGTCATGCATTGTCACATGCACTAAGAGCCACAGAGTCATGCAGCACGGAAACAGACCTTTCTGTTCAACCAGTCCACACCAACCAGGTTTCCCAACTAAATTAGTCCCACCCGCCTGTGCTTGGCCCACATCCCTACAAACCTTCTCTATTCATGTACCTGTCCAAATGGCTTTCGAACACTAACTGTACCTACATCTACCATTTCTTCCAGAAGTTTATCCAACAGTCAAACCACTCTCTGTGTAAAAACATTGCCCCTCATGTCCTTTTTAAAATCCTTCTCCTCTCACCTTATAAATATGTCCCTTAGTTTTGAAATTGCCCACTCAAAGGAAAAGACCCTTGTCATTGACCTTATTCGTGCCCCTCATGATTTTATAAACCTCAACCTCCTACTTCCAGTGGAAAAAGTCCCAGCCTATTTTTATATCTCAAACCCTCCATTCCTGACAACATCCTGGTAAATCTTTTCTGAACCCTCCATATGGAACTTTTAACCTTGTCACTTTAACATTTCACCTCTTACTTTATGGCATGTATTGCCCACTACACATTACTGTGTTGAAAATAATCACATTATTCTCCCTGTTATTTACTGTGTATTTTTTTTTAAAACTCCATTCTCCTCCCTGTTCCACTTCAAATACACTTCATTTTCTCTCACTTTCTTTCTCTGCTGTCATTAATTTAGAGTCTCTCTGATTACCAAAACAGTTTTTTTTTCTTACCTATTCTCCCGAACCCAGCCTAAACAAGACGAGAAGCCATTTACCTGAGGGTTTGGTGAATTTGCGAGGATGTTGCAGAGTGCAGGGACCACTGACGGATCCTTAAAAGCTTCCTTCAACTGAGCTGTGGCCTGTGGGTGGTATAAGAGGTAGATACAGCACAGACATAGGCCAGATAACCTACACAGATGATTATCGTTCCATTGAATGCTCCTAAAGCAGGGGGCACCGTGCTTCAAAACAGAATCATTCAGATAGTAATGCAGCAGGAAGATACTTCCTACTTTTACTTCTCAAGTTGCTTCGCCAATTTTTACTTGGCATTTCTCTCCCTGTTTCACAGTAAGATCTATAAATCTCTGTCATGAAATACATGGCCTATTTTAAAATCTAGACCAGTAGAATCAGTCACTCTTCAAATCAGACCACCTCCCCTAAGGGACTGTCTTCAACCCCTCCCCAGGGCTCAGGAACTGCTTCAAACACTCCCTCCCACTCAAGGACAGTCACCAGCTGTCCCCCCCCAGTAACACCATCTTTAGTGACTGTAAAGAGATCAGCTGGGTGTACCCCATAGAATCTGAGTTCCCTCATTGGGGCTGTTAAGCAGGTCCAATCAGGGAGCCCTGGCTGACGGATATAAACAGGAGGGTCAGAGGTCCTGCTCACTCTGAGAGCTGGCTTGGGGGAGGTTGGATCAGCGTCAAGGACTCTCCACGTGTAAACAAAGGGTAATT